TTGAATGAATGAACTAAGTGAGAAAAGATCAGAGCTATGCGCGAATGACTTTGTAGTTCAGCCGATAGATGGTGCGCGGTACAAAAGCGTAGAGGAGGTTTGAATCTCACTGCGACTACTAACCTTTTACCGGCTGTAACATTCCCATTTGTTATTATATTATTCACAGTCTTGCTACTACCGATTATATTTTGCGTGGGATCATTAGCTGATCCAGAATTTTTAGTAAGAGGACGTCGGTTGTGCGGCCAGACTATACTGAATTGTTAGAACGGATTGACGAGATTACAAATATATTCTAATTTGAGAAAGGTAGCGGTAGCTATGGTTTCAGAGCAATCGGAGTAGGTCCAATCCATTCAAAACTAGTGCTTGCTACTGCGCTTCATAGGCTATCGGCCACGAATGCTGAAGACCATTTATGAACAGACCGGTGTCCTAACAACACCACACGGTCGCGTCGATCGATTTCAATCTCCGCTCTATGCTTGGAAATCACCACATTCTACGATAGTGATATACCTTGACATCTTATTTTCATTCATTTTTGTTTCTGGTACAGAAATTTGTATATTTGTGCATTCGTTTAAGCCTATTTGGCGTGACAGAGGAAGTCATAATGGGTGCTGAAAAGACCTGTCTGGTTTGCTATAATTTAACACTAAAACAGCCGGAAAATTTTACCCCTCCTCTAGATAAAGAACACTATCCTCATTTCAATACACCTAGCTGATGCACTGATTCATACACAGTGTTACGCACGTTTCGACGAGGAATTATGACCTCTCCAAGTTGACCTAAATACACGAGCAAGTTGTAGCTCCAACAGAAAACTAAACCAAGTGATCACCTTTATGAAATCGCCAGATCGTATCATACGGATAGAAAATTATCACGTGTCTATGGCGCGCGATAGTATTTAGATCCAGGAACAATAACTGACCGTGTTGCATTGCATTGACGACTCGGGTTCCGGGCCCTCACGCGAGGCAACTGGGATTCATCTGCAAATCATTTTGAATTAATCAGTGCACTACCGTCTAGATCATGCTAAAATGCGTGGCACACAATTCTGGCACTACCGGAATGAGACGAAAAACCGAATCCCAGAGGAAATAACCGGAATCTAAAAAACGTATGAATAAACAACCACATGGCTGTTTTTCTGTTATAAGTATGAAGTGCTTCGATTGGCAACGTAACCGTGTCATCGTTACGAAGCTAAAATGGAGACTGATATACCGGTTTACCTTCGGTATGCAAGTAAAGTACACTATCAGCTAATCCTAAATTCTCTGAAGCAGCTGCCTGTGATGTATGGAATTTGGTCATCAATTCAACCATGGCTCACCTTTCTAGGCCCGATGTTATTACATTTGTTTCCATAGTCGTCGGGACATTCAGCGCAAGCCAGTCGATAAAGTTATCAGGATGTAGGAGACGCTTACCAGAATATCGCTGATAGCAGAGAAAAATGTTCCAATTCCTGTTAAACCCTGTATGTACATGAGTTGTGCTGTTTTGTTGCATGGAAACGAGTCATGGCCTCAGAAGTAGTTGACAGGCATACGCTAACTCGATATGACCTTATCTCTTTGGTTAAAGTTGAAACTGATTGAGGAAAAGCCTGATGCTTGATTTCTCACTTGGCACATGGGGAATGCAAGTACTAACAACGAAGCTAGCAGTGGTTCCAAAAGCGTTCTCGTGACAATAACTGTGGGTCACGATGCAGCACGAAGTGAAAATTTAGTGGTTAAAGGACCTGAGGTGTGAAAAAGTAAGTACCAGATGGAAAGAGGTAGTGAGCTATTTCAGATGATCGCGTAGGTTATTTATTGAGATGAAAAAGTGTCTCTCATCTCTACACGCTCGTACCTAAAATCCAAAGCGGAATGACCGCTAACACTGGCTCCCAGTATGGATTCCGTCTGTGATGCTAGTTGTTGCTGCACAATCAGCATGTGTAATCGGGAGCCACCGATCATATCTACCACGGACGTCAGGCTGTCAGCAGATTGGCTACGATTAAGCACAGCCAACCAGGCCAAACGAAGCGCGGTGTAAAGTTGCACTTGATCCACTTCCAGATCCGGCTCGCTTGTGTACAACAGTTTATCCAAGGACCCATAACACATGGAATCGAGTGGCATGGCACTGTCCAACGGAGTCCGAAACAACGCACCCAGCTCGGCAAAACTGACCACGCACAGATGAGACAGGGCAGACTGATGTTGACAGGATTGTTTGGGTGAGGCAGAGCCGTACAAAGATGTTGGTATATGCCCGGGCACAATCATGACCAAATAGAACGGTGTGGATTGTTCTGTATGGAACGTGCGGGGTGAATTGACGAGCAGAATAGCCATTGGAGAGGTAATAGTGGTGGAACTAGATGCGACGAGGGAAGAATTGGCGCCTGGCAAGTTGAGCAGTGAGACCGAATCGCCATCTCCAAGTCCCAGTAGGCGGTTCTGTGTGACTGGTTCTTCTGTGAATGGGAAATATGCAATAGAATGTGATCATTAGGCAAGACGAAAAATATTATCAAGAAGTATGCCAATATTGAGTGAGGTTCTATGTATCGATGAGGAACAAATTTCACTAAAGACGTGGCGTTTTGGGCTCTCGAAGTAAGCGAACACAAATAGACCGCTCTTCTCGGGTAGCTATTTTCTTGTTTTCAGATGTCAAATGCATTCTCTGACGCCTGAGGAAACGGGAGTTCTCCTATTTTCGAGCATGGTGACCTCACTCCCCCCTCCCCCGCCTCTCCCGATCCAAATAACGAACAGCACATTGCCTCTACGAACTGTAAACCATCTTTACCCATCAACTTTGTTTGCACATATGATTGCCAATATGGCTCCCGACGGCGTCATTCCACCCTCGATCGGCTAACCCAAGTCCCTTGCAATGGATTAACTTTACTCGACAACAACAGTGTACCACATAGTTCTCAAAGACATTAGATTGTGCCTATAGTTTCAGAGACTGTTGACAAAACTTTACACATTTGGGTTTTCATGGGTACGCGCGTTATAGACTTCAAGCTTTCTAAATAATCACACAATCTCCTTCCGAGATTATGGCCGTCTCCTTCTCTCACTCCACAGACCGAGTCCTCACAACCACTGGCACTTGTTTACTTTGGACTACAACAATTGAGACTACCCTTATGTTCATGTCCAAAACACACCAGGTTTTGACCCCTCAATTTCCTGTAGATTCTGTGTGTCTCGAAAGCATAGAGAACCAGTAACAGGGATACTGTGTATGGTTGTAGGTGGTGCATTCCTGGCTTCCAATCTTTCTTGCTCCACAGAACAGCCACAATACAGAATACCTTACTCCTACCCTATTATCCTTCTACTAACAACTAACTTTTATTTTCTAAATAAGGCTAATAACCCGGATCTACCGTAAATGTTCTGTACTGCATTGTAATTCTCACCTTACGTCTTTGGACCATGGGGCTCCTCATGATACGGTATTTCACTTTCTTCAACTTCAAGTTCACCGTCAAGGTGAAAAAATATTGCGTTAGACCTGATTACTGTTTGGTGTTTTTCGTACACCACAATTCTTGAATATGTCGAGGCACTGACCATTCGCAATCCCCGTCTGGAAGATACACACGAGATGCCGGTAATTTCTGTGATTGACTAATTTGACCTAAACAGGAATGAGCACACATATGCCACAAAAAGACAACTTGTATATGTACACTGTGCAAACTCTCGTATTACGCTTTATCGTTCCTATTTCACAGAAAATACAATTTCAACAAATATTACAGAATCCGGAAAAGGAGAATGTGAAACATTATTCATTCACCAAATAGTAACCTGGTCGATCATGCAGTGACTGTCAAAAACAGAAGTCACTTCGGGCAGGAAAAGCGTTGACCGATAGCTGATTCCACACATCAAGACGGCATACTGTAGTGAGTGACTCATAAATTGCACTGAAAGCTTACTCTAGCAAAAGTGGGTTAAATGGATGTCCCCTGAGGTGACCACACGGGTGGTTACGTTGATCTACTACTCGACATACGAGGTTCATGTCTCCTCTAGTCCACGGTATTCAGACGAATAGACTCCGAGAATATGCAGGTTTTCGACGTAGGTTTTAGATTGTAACCCTTTGACCATTTCGGCTGCTGTCCTCTGCGGACGTTAGAATGCCTTTTGGTCACGAATTAGCCATGGATTCCAAGCTTGTATAGTATACTCGGTGTGTGGTCTAACGTATGCTGATAGCAAACGGGGCAATGGGTCTACTTTGAATGATCCGAAAACACGTTTTATTAGTCCAACATGCTTTATGGCCCTTGATGACACTCTTGTGCAATATGTGGAACATCCTAGATCTTTAAGAATAAAAACTCTCAGATCCTTTTCGTTTGCAGAACGCAACAACGACTTTGTTCCCAGTAAATGTGTCGCAACGATAAAATTTTTCATTTTTCAACGTTGAATTCGATGTACTTTGTGATACACCATCGGTAAGCTGCGTCGACAGTTTCCTACAGGGTTTCATAATCTTCAGGATGGTGTACCGTCCGCCATGTTTTGGCGTCGTCAGCGAATAATAATGCCTTTTCTCCAAGGACAGTTACCTGGTAGGTCGGTTATGAATACCAGGAAAAGATACGGACCGTGTACGGATCATTGTGGAACTCCACGGACGGTCTCAATCGGTCCCGATGGAGAACCATTAACGCGAACCGATACGGTACTTTGTCCAGGAAATTCCTCAATCCAGTCAAGAAGCAGACCTCAGACACCGCAGTTATGGAGCTTTCGCAGCAGTATACGATGGTTAACCCCGTCAAAAGCTTTGAAGAAGTCCAAGTAGACTATGTCTACTGCCTCCCCTGCGTTGTCTGATCTTGTCTACTCATCTCGTAGTCGATTTGTGGTGCACGACCGTTTTCTTCGAAACCCGTGTTAGGGGGACGAAAGAATGTCATACCTTTCGAAACGCACAATCAGAGAATCAACAACAATTGATTCCATTACTTTCGACAGAACAGGAACAAATGTAACTGAACGGCAGTTCACACGATCACTTTGGCAGCCACCTTTGTAAATAGGTGAAACGATACCGTTTCCAGGACTGAGGAATCACCATCTTACCAAACATGCTTTGATATAAACGAACAATTAATTTAGATCAGCGGTTTGCTAAGGATGTCTGAGTCTGTGGGCGGATGTTGTTTTTCCCTGGGGATGAATTCTTACGCAGCGCAAATAGTTTGGCTTTTACCGTTTGAGATTCGAAGGTGACGGCAGTCAATTGGGGGTATGGGACACTTAGGCCGTTATTTTCCCTGGACTAATTAGAAAGGATTTCATTACTCTACGTCGCGGTTTAGTAATTATCAGCCGTGTTTCTCTTATTCCTTTAAACACTGTGATCACAAAATTGTGCAATTTGCATATAACTTCAGGTGGAAATTTTGCGCATAAACATTTATTGCAAATCAATGGTTCCCTATCTGGTTCGTATTCTCACTGGCACGGTGAGGATCCGTATGAACTAATCTTAAATCTACAAAGATGAACACCCGTTTATATTTTATCATTGTTGTATACGAATTTGAATTTCATCCTATTAGAGCGGTGTACACATTTTTAACTGAAATGTGGGCACAGTTGCCTGCACAAGCCACCTATGATACAATAATACAAGGTATGGAAGCTGAAATCCGACTTTGTCAGCTGCACACTTCATAGAACTGAACCTTTAGGAATTCGGCTGCTTTAGGCGTAGTAGTGGAAACAAGTCCAGCATGTCTGGGCGAGGGTATCGCTTGAAAGTAGCAAGGTTCGGCAATTACTTGTGGTCAATAGAGGTGCGGGTGTTCTTTTTCAGCATTCTTCTATATAGGCGTGGTAAATGTAATAGAAAAACAGAACTGCACGATCCATGCGTTAGAATGAAGATGTTATTTCGACAGATTTTACCGTAAGGTCATCGCTTGTCAATACCAAATCCAATGTTGATGGTAGCTGACCTGTTAGAAAATCTGTGAGGATCCCTTACATGGTTATACATAGGATGTGAGTCCATAAATTGTGTTAAATTTCGTTCGAATGGGTGGATATAGTTCTGGCCTTTTATAAAATTGGGCCAATTAAAGTCTCTCACTACGCCAACATGACTGAACTTTATTGGGAGAGCGTATCTTATGATCTGCAACGATGACGCATTAACTGAGTCTGAGGAGGCAGAAGAGCGATAGACTAAAAGGATCAAACAATTGCTATCTTTGGATAGCCTCATTGTGCATCCAAGTGTGTTGGAGGGCTGCAGCCGAGACATCAAGTGGTTCACATTGAAGATTGCTGCAAAAATATGGCATCACACGGCGACCTCGTGAAGAATCACGTCTCAGCAGGAGCATTCCAGGTAGGTGCAATTCAGAGCGAAGAATATCGGCAATTAAACGAGTTTCGGTAGTGGCAAAAAGATCCAAGTGACCAGTGTGCAAATGCCGTCGAAACTCGGATAAATTACTAGGGAAGAATGGTGCGTTTGTTTGAAAACACGTTAGGGAGAGTCGGTTTAGGAATCTTAGAGGGTTCAAATAGTTATTTATGCCAACCACCCTGCGGTCGGCTAGCAGTGATTTTGAAGGGAATTGGTTCCGTTGCTGTGGCCACCCTCGGGTTA